TCAGGCCTTCGCCTTTGGCTTCACCTGCGGCTGCGCCTTGGCAGCTGATGGGCCTGGCCTGTAAAGGCTGTCGGCACTGGCTTGGCTACGACTATAGGGCCAGCTCAGGGCCAAAGCCTTGCCATAGCCTGACGTGCGAGCGCAATCTGTTGTTTCGCTGGCGATTTGATGTGAGTGTGACATGATCGCCGGCCTCTGGCGGGAAAGTCGTTGAAGTACCTGCACCTTTCATCGAACTGCTTCGGGCCAGACCCTCGTCCTCGCTGGACACCTGGCGCCAGCGCCACACACCCGCCCAATGCAACCACCCCTCCACTAGTTAGAAATGTTGTCGGGCATTGCCTCGTCACCTTCAGCATCGATGCTGCCCTCCTTGCACCGACTGAGAAGAGTAAGACAGTTAAAGTAGCGCGAGAGAAACACCGAACCACTCGATCAACAGCCTCGTCTTCTCCATCTTCGTGACGTCTCAGCTGACGGGGCCGTCGTTTGAGCTTGTCCTGCCGCGTGAAAAGCCGAAAGCATCAAGGACACGCAGCTTCTCAGCTTCACTTCTTCAAGGCCACATGATGCGGCACCTTCATGTCGGATGTCAGAGGCACACCCAGTTGGGCACGGCGCTGCGCCATGGCCTTCTGCTGTCTTTTGGACAACCTGCTCCAATGACAGTCCAGGGCAGCGTCTAAAGTCTCGCAGCCTCGTACTCTGGGAGGCTCTGAGGAGTTCAGCTTGCTCTGCCGTCAATTGAACGGCCTCTGCCCAAGCAAAGCTTTCCGGACCACTTGGTGCTTCCATTCAAACAAGAACCAAAGATCATCATCAATGCAACGAGCCGACCTTCAACTCCTCCAGAACTTGAGTCCTTAACTCCTTGCTGGCCTGTTTCTGTGCAAGTTGTTCCTTGGTCAAGCCAGCCCAATTCAAGAGCTGCTTGCACGTTCGATCCCCGAGCCCGAGCCAGGTTCCAGCTTCCTCTTCTTGCGCTTGCTCATCTTTTTGACTTCCTCCGCCTCAGGAGCAGCTTTCGGCGCCTTTTCCCGTCGCGAGGGCAGCACCTGCACCGAGGTGGCGGAAATCCACGCGACGTGAGTTGCCGACCCACCTCCGCATTGGTGTCCGATGCCAAGCGCGGCGGTTTGCTGCTTTCGTCATGTAGCCCCGCCATCAGCCGGCCGGCCGTACAACATTTGTTCAGGCCACCTAAAACACCTACAGGAAGGAATGCAAACAACGCAATCAAAGCCTTGCATGTTCGGGCACTGCATGCTTGTCGGGGGCCTACCCCTGCAGTCCCTCTGTATTCGAGAGTCTATGGCACAAGCATCTACTAAGTAGAGTACAGGCTAGTCTGTGTTTCAGCACAGAAACCACCTGGTCCTGCGTTGTCTCGTTATAAGGTTTGCTGGAGCACCAGCTGTCACCGAAGACAATGCAGCATGGCCCTCGTGCATGACTGCCCTGCCCTCAATAAACCTCTACTCGGACGATTTCTAGTCTTTTGCCGCACCAACTCAAGAGATGTCCACGTCGAAATATGTCCAAGGCCTTAAAGGGATGGTAGGACGCAGACAAGCAAGGACCACTGCGCCGGCTGGTAGGCTTCTGCACAACTGTGGAATCTGCTGTGGCCCGCTGGTGCAAGTACTGAGGCTCTGGCATGTTTTCTTCGGCTTGGTGCAGCCCCTGGGAGGTGACACCTGAAAACCACAGCCTCAGTGACTCTTTGGATGCCATGCCTCAGCCTTTTCCACACGGACACGCTTGTCCAGACTGGGGAAGCGTTCCAGCCGTGGCTGCGTTAACGTTGCCAGGAACTGCAAGGAAGCATCCTTCAAAACACTTTCCGAAGGTTGTGAATATGCCACGTTGACTACACCGTGTAATACCCCGTGAGTGGCCGACTGTGATTCCACAGCCGCCACATCGCAGCCGACAGAGCTCACCTACGCAATTCTTCCGGACAACAGATATTGTGTTTCCGAAAAACTTGCAACTACTTCCCGCTCAGGTGCATCTGAGTGGCGGCATGCTGACAGCACAAGTCGAACCCCTTCATCTGTGATGTGGTGGGATGCGACTGTCAAGTCCTACATTTGCATTCGTGCAGTTGCGCAGCTGTGCAAGTCATGTTTCGGAGCAAAGCACCAGGGCACGCCCCCACCCCCCTCTCCCGACTGCTGGTCCCGAAGCATGCTGCAAGTCTCCACGACTGACTGCAAGCCCGCATCGTCAATCAGGCCTAGGCAGGCACATCATACAACCCAGTATATTATATTATACTATACTATATTATATTATAGTATATTATAGTATATTATACTATATAATATCACATCACCAAGTCCAAGAAGACCTTGGCCTGGCCTGGCCTGGCCTATGCTGGGGCTCAGGCACTCTGCAGAAACTCCTTTCTGCATCAGCTTGTGCGGACCCAGCCACAAATGCCGCAAACACCTGTGACTCATGGAGGCGAAGCGGACCCAGCCACCGCAAGACAGCAGTCGCCTCCATGAACTCCACAGTCTCGTCTCCAGAAACCCGTTTGTCATGGGAGCGAACAAGGACAAAGACCTGACAAGGGAAAGGTCTACGGCCAGAACCTGCAACCCGCCGATCATGGTACACACTTGACACAGATGCCTCATTCTAAGAGCGCGCGCTGAGTCGACGGCCTAGAAGCAAAACGCACCAGAAGGCAAGATGCTGGTACGTTCAAGCACGTCCATCGATCTAGCACGACTCCACAGACTTTTTGAAGGACTGCAGTGCCTTGGTGAAACCACGGTTCGTCTGCAAGCGCTTGCAGAGGGGGTTGGGCTATCAGCTCAAGCCCTGCAGGCTATCATCCGCAAGATTCGGTGGGGAGCCAGCACCTTCTGCCTCACTCTGAATGGGCATGAATGGGGAGTGCCTGCACATTGGACATCGCGGACATTTCTGAAGCCACTGGGACCTGAGCTGGACAACTCCGGATGGCATGCAGGCCATGCAGGCTCCTGTCCGAGAACGTCCCTGGAAATGCCGGTGCTGGGCAACTGAGGCGTGCACGCACAGGCGGCATGAAAGGAATGCCCACATGGAAGAGGGATTAGAGGCACGTGCATCTGCTTCGGTGGCCGCAGCGGCTCCAAACAAATGGGGCAGTCCTCCAAGTTCACACTCGCTCTGCGGCTCAGGCTGGGCAGCCTGGAACCTTTCTCCGGGCTCAGGCACACTGCCTTGGTCCCTGTTAGACCTGCCCTCAAGAAGTCGAGCTGACGACGCCAATCGCTGTCACTACTACTCGCTGCCACGGATCCCGTTTGCCGAACGCTTTCCACCCACCTCTGAATGCCTTCTACGGCCGAAGACGGTGGCTGGATGGGAGGTAATGGTGAGATCTGCGGCGACGGCGAGCTTGGGCCAGGGGATGGTGACGGCGATGGGCGGTGCGGCGGCTGCGGGATCTGTGGGTTGGGGCCCCTCTGCGCCAGGGAAGTCACTCTCGCCGCGGCCGCAGCGTAGCGGGCTTCTGCCCTGTCGCGCGCCGCAAGTGCCTTGGCGGTGAGCGCCTCTGCTCCCGAGGAGCCTGCGGTGACCGCTGCCAGCACCGCTTTCAACTTCTCCAGTTCTGCCCGCAGCACAGGCAAGAAGACCACCAAGTCCTTGCGCTGTGGCTTCAAGTTCGCCAGGCGTTCCCGCAGCCAGCCTTCGACAACAGCAAAACGGCGACAGACCGCTTGGAGGGCCATGTGCCGGACCAGTCCTTCGTCCTCGCACTCCTTGAAGTCGCTGTGGCAGAACTCCCAGGCCGTCTTCCAGACCTGGTGCATCTCCAGGCCCTTGTCCGGCACTGCCTGCAAGAAGGCAGATTCCGCGGCGTCATGCCGCTTCGTCTTCGTGGGGATGTCGGGTGTCTCCGGAAAATCCCAGCCCTTCCGGCTGAGCTCCGCCACGAAGTCTTCCAGCCTCCGCAGCCGGTACTCGCATTCGTCGAAGGGATCCTCGAAGAGCCGCCGGCAGCCGCGAGCCGTCCCCTCCGATGCGTCCGCGTCCACGTCCGCCCCTCTGCGAAAAAGCCCAGGGAGCTCGGTCACCAGCTGCAGCATGCGGCCCACTGCCCCATTCGGGCTGCAGGTGCAAACTGCTCCTCCAAACGCAAGAGAGTCCCCTGTAACGGGCCTAACCTTGGCTCCGTGTGACTCTAGATCTATGGCCTTTGGCCCTCATCCTCGAGCCACTTCAATCACACAAGCGGCATGGGTACTTCTGACTTTGGCCCTACATTGCAGGCTACCGCAGGCAAAGCCGGATGCCTGGTTCCCGTCAAGGGGCGACAGCCTTGGACTGACCGCGAAGAGATGCGATGCAAGGCTATGCAAGGCTAAGGCCCGAGGCTCCGGCGAGCTGAGTGCCAAGCTCCGGAGCGCGAGCTGCTCCACCTCGGCGCCGAGAAAGGCCCTCGTCTTCCGCCCTTTTTCCGCACGGGGCCCGGGCGAGAACGCGCAGTCCGTAGGTGACACTGCCAACCTGCCGCCACGAATCCGGGAAGAGGCGCACCTGTGCAGAAGAAGCACCAAAAGCAAGCGTCGTTCTGAACCCGCTGACCGGGGCTCGGGCCTGCTCCAGCCTGAGCCCACGCTGCTAGCAACTCGTCTAGAGCTCTGAAATGAGACAGCCAATAAAAAGCGAGGCGCTTCGGAGCGCGGGCCGCAAGATGCTTCAGCGCATCATCGTCGACTCCATGGCCTCAAAAAAATGGGCGGACCCAAAAAACCGAGCATTTTTTTCCGAGTTTAAGCCTCAGGGCGCCACAGCCGTGCACTGTCAAGGACATCAAGCTGCAGTGACCATCACCTTGGAGGCTAATCGGCTAGTCCTTCCTAGCCCCTGCATGGGCATTGCAAACGCAAGCCTCGATGCTAAATATTGAAACGAACAGTTGCCTGGCTAAGTCTTCTTGCTGGGGGCGCTGCTAGACGACGTCAGCGAGGTCAAAATGTCCTTGAGGGTGAGGGGCGCAGCCTCAATGCGAATTTCCTATGTGCCACATGCTAACTGCAAGCCGAAGTTGGACACATTGGACCGCAAGCTCATCGTAAGTGTTCTGTCGTCAAGTAAACTGTGAGTCGAATAGTCATCCTTGTGTTCAGGATTTGTGCCTGCTGTCTCAGGACCCGGCATAATCCAGGCAGAGGGATCTCAACTGCTTCAATTTCGAGATCGCCTGTTTAAGACAAAGCAACAGTCAATGCAGCACACGCAAACATGAGCAGATTACTGAGGCCTCCAGCCAGAACAAGGCTCTGCCGGTATCCTCGGACCAAGCTAGGCGAAGCATCAGGCGGATCTGGCTGCATGATTCGCTTCAGCCGCAGCACCGATCTGGCATGCAGTGCCAGATGGAGGTTGACAAGGCCACCCACCTGCCACGTTGAGCACATAAGGGCCGCAGTGCCCAGCTGACCCTGCAGCTTGGGCCTGACTGGCTCTGCCAAGTGCCACTAAAGGAGCCAAGAGAGCTGCTGTCGCGTCAAGCCTCAGACTGATGTTGCCTATGAGTCTGTCGGAGCAGCCTCCCGCCAGCTGTATTTCTTAATAGGGTCTCTTTTTGGGATGCCCACACTGGAGGGTGCCGTATTGACGGACCATGATTTGACAGCTACTCACATCCTGCCAACTGCATCGCTGAATAGCCCTAGGTCTGCTGGCCCACTCAATCTTGAGTCTTGAAGCACTTCCTGGCGATAAACCGCGAAAATAGAAACCGCGCCTGGTGCAAGAAGGGAAAGCATACAAACACCATCTTTTACCAGAGTGGCTAGTTACCACAGTACACTGAGCTTGCCGGCGCAACATGACGGAGAACCAGTCGTCTCAATCCCGGTGCCTTGTGCAGCATCGGGCATCATCGGGCATCTTGCGTTGTTTTGCTGCGAAGAGCTGCTACACGATCTCGCAAGCTGCGCTATTGATAGTGCTGATGTTGGTCTTGTTCTGCTCTTCCGCTCTTGTTTACGTCTCTTGTTGTTATCGTAGGTGGGTCGCGATGATGTTGAAGATTGTTCTCGGTCGTCCGTTTCTGTTCTTTGAACGATGGGCTTACTGCTGATACTATCAAGGCTAGTCCTGTCATTGGTGTTTATACTATAGCTTCGAGTTCTAGTTCTAGTTCTAGTACTAGTAGCAGTCGTAGAAGACTAGCAGCAGCCGTCGTCGTCGTCGTCGCAGTAACAGCCACAGTAGCAGGCGCAGTAGCAGTAGCAGCAGTAGCAGCAGCAGTAGCAGCTGTAGCAGTAGCAGCAGCAGTAGCGGTTGTAGTAGAGGTAGCAGCAGTAGCGGCGGCAGTCGTGGTAGTAGTAGCAGAAGCAGCAGAAGTGGCAGTGGCAGTGGCAGTAGCAGTAGCAGTAGCCGGAGCACTACTATATGATCTATATGCTGCCCATGCTGATCTTCACACCGCTTCGCCTGCGTCGTAAAGTCCTCCACGATTTTGTTTCCCCAGTCTACGGGAGCAAGATCCAAGTCCTGCACGACATGCACAAGCGCTTGCGACACGACGTCGGGCTTGGTCCTGGATGTCGCTGCAACCGCGGGCTATGTCGACAGGATCTACGGCCTTAGTTAAGATCTTGTCACTGTCAGCGCTTCACCTGAAAACAAAGAAACGAGGAACTTCGAAGATGATGTGAGCTCTGGACGTCTCGTGGATCAGACTGCTGACACAGCTGCGCACAAAGGCCTCATTCTGCCCCGGAACTGCTGCTTTCAACCGAAAGGATAACCCGAAAACTCGTCAGCAACTCAACAACTCATGAGTCAGATGCGCTGCAACAGCGGGCAGCACCTCTGTCCGCGGTCGCACCCTCACCACATCTGGCAACACTTCCGGCTTGGACGCGGACGCAGCGATCGTGCGAGTGCCGCCCCAAACCCGAATCGCGACCGCCCCTGAGCTCATGACTGCCAGGAGTCAGGCACGCCAGGGCTCAGAGGGGACAGCTGCGCTGAGTGTCAGGCCCAAGTCCAGAGTGAGCAGACGCCGCCCCAGCCAGGCCAAGGCTCGCAACTCGGCCAAAAGGCGTGGCCCTAGTGCCCTAGTGAGCCCGACAGGCCTCTTACAGGCCTACTCAGGCTCCGGCCTCCAAGGAGGTGCGGCAGGAAGGATTCTCGGGTCGGAAGCTGAGTGCCTGCAGGAGAACCCAGTGCAAAGCTTGAAACCTCCCGTTTCCCTTTTCCTGAGCGGGAAACCAAGTGCTGCAGGCGAGGGCAATACTTGGCCAATCCTGAGTCGGAAGGCGCTCGCAGGAGTCCCGCTCCATTCTGAGGACATGCAGAGCTAAGCAAGAAGCTGTCCAAGAGCCTCTGCGGTTCTGGGAAATCTCCTCCGAAGGAGGATGCATCCACCTGGGACTAGGCATTGTTTGGTTTCGGAGTCTCTGAACTTCCGCTTCCACATTGGAGGTCCCGCTACCTCCAAAGACTCCAACAAACGCATCCCGCAGACCAGTCGGAGCAATTGCCTGCCACATCGAGAAGTTGCACACATCCGGATTCGCGGAGCATCGCGGAGCATCTCAAAGCGGCGGGCCGTTCACCGAAGCGAGTGGTGTCACAGATGGTCAGCTGTCGAGCCTCAACTGCCGTCTGTGACTCTACTGACCTCAGGAAATCTCCAGAGACCTTTGAGAGCTCAGCGTTGCGACAGTGCTGACCCAAGAAACGCAGGCAGTCGCTCTGCCGATTTATGGGTACACGAACCTGTCATCCGGAGTCATCCCAAACACGCTTGGCAGCACACTGCCAAAAGCGAGCGAAGTCGCACCCAGCTGAGGGCAACATGTTGCTGCGGCTGGCCAGCCTCATCGGATCCCAGCGTCAACCCCCCTTGCATCTGTCCCCACACAGATCCTTTTCTGGGCAGCGCTCCCAGAGTTCGAACGCGTTTGCGGTGACCGAATGGCACGCACCTGCCAAGATGCCAGCCCATGCAGGTTCGTGCATCTGTCTTCATGTGAATCTCTCGCCGGCACGGCGGAAGGCGCACATTGGCGCCCAGGAAAGCATCGAGAACCTGAGCTTCCAGCAGATGTCCCGAAACCTGGTTCTTCGCGGTTTTTCGCTGCAGGGGGCTCGGCACATGCACAGCAATGAAGAGCTCGGAGTCTGCCACATCCTTCCAGGATAATGCGGCCTGCCACAAGTGCCAAGCTGCAGCTGCAGGGTGCAGAGTTGGACACTGCAATAGAGCAGCCTGAACGATCTCTTCCCAAGTCTGGTGACCTGCATGGCCACGAGCTGCCTGCACGCAATGTGCGTTCTTGCTGCTAGGCAGCTCGTGCGTCGGTCAGTACAGCACTGTGCCTCACAGCCGTCCTAGACTCTCGATGCTTCTCGGTGTCGGCATGGCCCGCTTTGGGGCGTCGGGCAAGGGCAGGCTTCCGCGAGCCCCGAAACCCTTTCGAAGAAGCCAGTTTCCCGCGTTTCGGGGGAGGCCCACTGTAATGGACGAAAGCCTAAGCTCCGAGGCGGGCCATGCTCGGATTCGGACACCCGCCGACTCCATCCTCTTGATTGAATGTGTCGAAGAAGATCTGGACGAGCTCGGCACACTGCTGCGTATCGCGTGGGCTTCCAGCTTCCAGCACATCCACCAGGATTTCGGTCAGGTTCCGGTAGCCTCTGCACCGAGATTTTCTTAAAGCTTCAACCGGCTTCTGCGAAATTCTGGCTCTCCCCGACTCACTTTCGTTGAGGCCAGCGCTCACCGCCGAGTCCAGATGAAGCCCTGCAGGTGTTGATGCCGGCAGCTCTGAAAGCCAGGCCTCACAACCACACTCGGACACTCTTCGTCAGTCGTGTCTCACGTCTCTGCCAGGCCGAGCTGCATTCACGAAGGATCCCAGCACATGACGCTGGACTTCGAAATGCTCTTCAGGCCCGAGGCCCTGCACAGATGGGAACCTCGAGGCGAGAATCCGTGAGCAGGCCGGCATGGCCGGCTAATCGATCGAACGGGAACCTTTGACCCTGCAACCTGTCGCTGCACAGCCACCGGCCTCCTAACCGTCTTACGAATCTCTCACAACACTGCGCTGTTCCACCTGCTACAGTAGAGTAGACCCTTGCTGTCGAGCTTCAGAGTCTGTGCGAGTCCTGTTCGTTGTGCAGCACCCCTCGCCAGTCTCAGCGTTTCTTGCGCCCGGGTTGGTGTCCGCAGCGCGTCGACGGCCAGCTGGCGAAATGCACTTCTCAAGCTCAGCGCCGTGCTGGACCCGATCACAGCTGCGTCAGCCAAGGCTGCTGCTCCCGCCCCGGTGCTCAGTGCACTCTTGGCTATGACCGTGGTGCCGGCGGTAGCCACAGTGGCCGCGAGCCCCAGCCTAATGAATCGGCCGTGGGACGTCTGGAGGGATCGCGCAGTCTCTGCCGAGAGAAATCGGCGAACTCCAGAAGCTTCCCCCAACCTGGTGCAACAGAGGCTTCGAGGGGAAGATAGCAACGTTGCAACGGCACTCCAGTGACCCTGTAGTGTGGGCAGGATGCTTGCACCAGCGAGCGAGCAGCTCACTGTTTTTCACGAGGAGGTTGTACTCCACCTTCATGGCGGCAACACCGTGGGTCGGTAAGACGGGTGAACCATCGAACACAGAAACGGCTCGGCCTCGTTGCCACCATCTTCACCTAATGCGACCACGCTGAGTGCCCGTAAGACCGTAAGAGGCCTGGGAGAATGCTTGGGTAGCTCTTTGCGTTTGCGCTTGCAAATTAAATGCAGGCCTTGGATCTTCCGCTTGGGTCGAGCAGGTCCCCGATCTGTAGAGCAAGAACTGGCCATGCCTGAAGGCTCGTGTCTGACATCACTGAAACAACCACAGACTTCGACTTCGACCTGGACAACTCCTGGCTATATAAGCCCGAGCAGCGAACTGCCATACTGGCATCTGTGAACTTCTCTGCCTTGGGCGAAAGCAGCCAGAGAGCACCTTAGGGCATCGCTCTGCCACTGAAGAGGCATGAAGCAGTGGAGAACGTGTGCTATAATGCCTTTTGAACAAAGCCGTAACCAAGCGACACTTCGATTCGGCCTGGCTCGGCTGCTGGTGGCTTGAAGCGTACCACAGCGCAGCAGTTCAGGGTGTCGTGGACGCAGTCTTTGGAGCAAGGCTGGGTGTGGACAACTATGCCGTGAAGATTGTACGTCCAACCCAGCTTCCATGCCTTGCGCACTGAAAACTTTCCCCAAGCAAGACATGATCGCAACCACAAAATGCAGCAGTAGAGGCAGAGGCGCATAGATATGGTCTCCTGCTAGGAGGCGCGCTTTGCAGATGCCATGGATTCCAGCTGCGTCCATCATCGCCGACGTCCCATCGCGGCAGGCGACCACCCCCAAGCTGGCCCAATCCAAAGGCGACATGGCGTGGCAGTGTAGCGGAATGTAGCGGAGGTCACTACATCTGACTCATCTGACCCTTGCGCATGGCTGGAACAGATAGGTTCTCCTTTTGGCAACTGCTGCGCATCCAGTTTCGTTCACAACCGAGAACAACGCAGCAGACCCCAAAGCCTCGCGCCACACGCACTCGTCTGGGCCACCGATCGCCTCAACAGCTTGCCGGGCAGCTGCTGCAAAGGCCTGGGCTCGAACTCACTTCAAGCAAAGATCCAAAAACACCGGCCCCGCTAGAGACAATAGCTGAGCTTTGCTCCCGCAGAGGCTCTGCCAGATGTCCAGCGCTGGACCCACATTCCATGCGGCATACGAGGCATTTACATTCGAAGCCCTTCCAGATCAAAATCTCGTGAGAGTTGGCTCTACGTGGCGCAGCGGTTTTGCAGAACCCAGAACTGAACAGCCCATGGCTTGCACTGAATGTCCAACCCTAGTGAAACCTGCAAGAACACATGCGGACGGCAAACAAGCCTCAACATGACGCCGCTTCAGCCAGTGCACTCCACGTCGGCTTTTTGTCGCGCTCGGCAATACGATCCAGGTGGACGTGCCTGATACGTGGTGGTTGAAACGGTTCGGAAAGGCCGGCGGGACTGGCCTGCATCAGTGAAGAGCAAGTCTTTGGAGAATGCAGCAAGTGGCAACCAACACTTGCAGAAAGAACCACATGTAGCCCGCTGCAGAAATATTAAATTGCAGTGCAGGTTGCTAACATGTGAACTCAACAGTGTTCGCTTGGCTTTGGCTGCAACACAAAAAGCATAGCATTCCTGGCCATGTGCTAAACCGTGCCCGCCCGCCTTACTCCTCCGACTTTCGCCACTGCTTTCCCTTGCCTCGCGGATGCCAGCAAGATGGGTTGTCACATCATCTCAACAACCATCGGTTGGCGCCTTTGCCTTTGCTCTTACCCTTGGCCACAGGAGGGCCTGAACGATGACAGGCAGAGGAACGAATGACGCACTGTGAGGCTACCAGGTCGACATGCGAAATCATCTATATCTATGTCCCGTCATACGTTCCTTTCTCTGTCTCTTTGTCCTATCTCTATCTTCTCGATCTGTAGGTATATGCGTTCAAGAAGTGCTGGAATGCTTAAGCTAGGCCCTGGCCCATACTCCGGTGCAAAACCCACTCCCCGGGTCATTTCTGACATGCGGACCTGAAAACCCTGCGACCAATGATGAACGAAATTGGTGCCACACCCCAACCAAGCCCCGTCCGAATCTTTGGTGGCACGTCCCTCCCACCTGCGCCCATCCTCCCCCCCCCTCTCGTCAAACTCACCCTCCCTCCCCTCTTCTCCAAATTTCTGAGGACCCGGTCATGGACCCGTCGAAACCGGCCGGGACTCCTCCAGACCCGTCGGGACCCGCTGGACTCGTCGCGGACCAGTCGGGACCCAACTGTGCGGGAATTGTCGGGACTCGTTGAAAACACCATCCAAACCCACACCTAAGCATGCCAGGAGGGGGTTTGAGGACCTTGGGCGGGTTGGTGACCGGGTCCCCACGGGTCCCCGACGGGTTTCTGATATGTTCCCCACTCCCCGACGTGTCGTGACAGGTCGGGCCGCGCGGTCTCAGAAGAGAGCGGCAGGGGGTTTCTCGGAGGGCTGGAAAGTGGTCGGGCCCAAGTCGGGACCCTGCCGTCAATTCTCTTCAACGCATGTGTTTCATTATTAGTTTGTATATTTATTACCCGCCTGTAAATGGTCACTGAACAAAAGCCGTCACCTGCACTCTCCACCTTGCGAGCTGTCTGCATCATTATCATCGCAATCCTGCCCCAGCAATTGACATTCCTAGATTTAGACTTCAGATTCTTCTACCCAATTGTTGCTGATTTATGCCCTGATTTTGACATCAATTGTACGCAGACGGCAGAAAGTAGCCTTCAGCAGCCTAGGGCCGTTTAAAACATACGTATGTATACAGATAGATCTATCTGTATGTGTGTGTATATATATATATAGATATGCACATACATATGTCCATATTTCATATCTTTGTGTCGGCTGCTCTGCGGTTTGAGAAGTGCTGCAAGGCCGAAGACTGCTGACTCTCATTGACTCTCTATATCCAAATCCAAATCCATGTCCATATCTCCTTCCATCCCTCCCTGTGCAATGCATGCACATGCACACACACACACACATCATACCTACATGCATCATTCACATACATGCATGCATAATCACGCATACCTTCTTACATATCACATACGTACACACGTACATAGCCATCTACATACTACGTAGATGTAAATATTGAGTATATGCCGAGAACTCGCCCGCCCCGAGAGGTACCCCAAACTTCAGGAGGGATTCAACAGCCGCACCCAAGCCGCCGAGCCAATGGTGGCCCAATGCGACGACGGTCCCGAAGAACGTGGATCAATGTGATCAATGGTAACAGGCACGAACACGTTACACTTCTGCAACAGCTTGCTGACCGCACGGACCGGGCGTCTTGTGACTGACCTCCGGGCTGTTCAGTCAACAAGGGCGTCACCATAGCATCCGAACACAAGAGGCTTAGAGGCATCTCACATCCTTCGTGCTGTCCACCTTTCTAGCTCTCAGCAATACCCAATTCTACGATTGACCAGGTGCGAGCTGGGCTTAGGCTTTGCCAGCTCCCTTGCCCGCCAATGGCTTCTGAGGTAACACTTGAAATTTTTCCCAAATCCTAAACTGACGAGACCATCCCACGAAGAATCGGCGAAACTTGATGCATTACAGCAGCACGCCTTTGTTGCCTCCCTCGTCTTCTTTTAGCATCATGATGCCACCGTCGATGGAATAGCCGTGGAGGCGCTGCAGCGCCCGCCTCCACCCAGGGCAAACACCCCGCAGCTCATACACCGCGCATGCGGGTCCGGTCGCGTCCCGCTGCAAGCTGAGGCTGCTGCTGAGCCCCTCGAAAGTGGTCGAATCTGCAAGTTCCCTTTCCCAGGGAGCTGCCATCCTGCAAGAGTGTTCTCTCCAAACTTGCAAACATCCCAGCGAGACAGCGCTCAACTCAACGTTGCAGGCCTGGTTTCGCCAGAAGTCGAAGTCTACAATTGTCCCCACTCTCTCAAACCTGGCAATTGGTGCCACCAGGATGCCACCATGCGCTTTCGGACATCCAATCCAAGGCGCTAAGGTGCCGGCTGACTGCGCAAAAAGCCCTCCGTGGTGCCAATTGGGACACCACTCCAAAACACCTTGCCAAAGACTTGGCCCCGATACCCCTGCCGCACGAGCAAAAGCGAGCCGGCTTTGGTGCCATCTCCAGGTTCGTCCTCATTGCCTCGACTTCAACCCAACATGGCATCGCGCTGGGCTCACACGTCAACAGAAACGAAAGCGCCTTTGCCGCGGCTTCGGGCCGGTCGCAGGACTGCATGGCGGAGATCACAAGTAAGAAGTAGGTTATAGCAGGTTCAATGAAGCAGATGCGGAACCGCTCGTGCAAAACTGCGAGCAGACACGCGCTGTCCGTCTCCTTCTTCCTCTTCCGCCGGTTTGGGTCCAGGCCCAGGTCTTTTCTCATCCTGATACAGAGATGTACACAGGTGCAGAGGGGTACGGGATAGCTTCGCATGCATTCGCGGCCTTCCGCACTAGAATACTTCTCCCGTCTATGGTACTGCCATTGAGGCTCTCAATGGCTGCTTCTGCCTGGCGATGCGGTGGTTCTGCTTAGTTCAACCTCACAGTCTCACACTCTGCCTCGGCCACTCGGCTGTAGGTACACGTGCCTGGCAAGAACACCCTGCAGGCGTGCAGCTGTCCCACAGAACTGGGATTCCAGCCCATGCCGTGAGAACCTGCAAGAGAATGAAACGACCGTAGCAAGGGCTCGCTGACAAATTGAGGTCTGCACGCCCGTCTTTTCTTCTCCAGAAATCGAAATCAATGATGTCCCCAAACCGCCTCATTCGCGTGGCACCCCAACGGCAGCCAACTTGGACAACACATAAATCAGCCAGGCTGCTCGAAAGACCTGCCTCGGAAAACTGTGCTGGCAGTGCGGGATTACTTGCAGAGGACACGACTGCTTTGACACCGACGCAAGAATCCCTCGTTGGTGGAATACGGAACACCGTCCCAGAAGATGCGGGCCTTGGTCTTGTTCTTCTTGCGATGCGCGGCCATAGCTTGCTAGCTCATCATGATAGCAGTCGTATCCGGGCATCGCACTTCTCGGAGACCTTTCCCACCGCCTTTGCGCGAATGGCCTAAACAAGCGAATCCTATCTGCGTGTTGCCCATTGAAATTCATTGGGCCCGTCAAACCCAAGCCGTGAACGCTCGTTTGGTTTTACCAAGATGGGTCGGCCATCCACTTCAGTCCCGTCCAACTCTGTAACCTCGGATGGCCGCATGGCGCCGGGCTTGTCGCTGGACAACAGAAGCATCGAGTGCGCGGCAGCTCGGCTTGCGCCTTCCGGCGTCAAGAATGTTACCACCCCTGCACCAATGGAAGTGCCACCTCGGAACAAGGGGGCCCAGAGCCGCAGAGGTCGTCCAGTGTTCATTTTCTATAACAGGCCCAATGTTGCTGACGAATCTGCGGCTGGCACGTGACGTTTCATACAGCCTTATAGGAACAGCTTCAACTTTGCTTCAACATGATCACGAAGGCAAGCAAAAAAGCGAAATAAATACAAGCTATAAAGCCCAATGCAGAAGCAACATTCGGAAAAGTCGCTCTACGTACTGGACTTCGCCGACTTTGGAGAAAAAGCGGCGCAAATATCCAGCCTGGCATGCAGCGGTCGCTTGCTAGCTGCTACTTCCCAGATGATCGAGTCCAACAAGTCAGCGGGACAGTGGTGTCGTACCTTCTGATGAACTATGCTGCGTCGCATGGAACCCAGAATATGCACGAGAAGGGCACGACAAGTTTGAAAAGAACACGCTGCACTCCAGGGGCCAAGGCCTCAGCGTGATCTGCAGCCAGGACGGGGAGCTTGAAATATCGAAAAACCCAAAAAATCACATTCACAGTGAAGCCACAACACGGACGTCCGCAAATGTTTCCATGGTGCTCTCGGGTCCACACTCCATCCTATCACGGAAGGGGCCTCGGCAAGGTGCACAGTAATCGGAACAAGAACGATTGGCATCGCTGGTGGCAGGCCACGACTGACAAATCTTCTTGTTACATGAACAACATTCCTCACCAGTGCTCCGACCGTTGGGCATTGCTGCACCCGTGCCCCTTTCACTTTCACTGGGGGCAAAATCACCTTTGGGGACGGCATTTACAGTGTTCGGATGAGGCCAGGTTAGCTGTTTGTGACGAGCCGTATGTGTGTTGCAAGCAAAGCCGCAAAGCAGCACGGGGAGGAAGGTCCAATTACGGGGTAGGCGGTACAGACACCCAAGTCCCAATGCCCTCATAACAAGTAGTGGGTGGCGATGATGTGTGGCAACAACTGAATGGCCTCAACGGGGGCAACACGGGTCACAAACCCGAACCCCGAAAACGAGGTGGTGGTTGCAGGCGCCGGCTTTGAGTTTTGCTCCGTATTTTTCAAGTCCCCTGATCAGGCGAAGCAGTGTTCAGGGTTTAGGTTAGTGCTAGGTTAGGTTGTTTCCTTCATTCCCCTCAAGCATGATGACGTTCATGGTCTAGGCCAGTCCGAGAACATATCATCCATGGCTCAACCCGGCCCAAGGTTCTTTAAGGTTTGGCCAAGCCTGGTTTTTTTTGAAAGGTTTGGCCAAGCACTGGTTCGGCATGTGGTCTCCTGGTCCTCTAGTCCCTTCCCCTTCCCGGCAGCTTTTGGGGCCCAGTCATTGCTTCAGTTTCGAGTTTTTCGAGATGCGCGACGTGTGGTGAGTGTAGTGGCTTCCATGTCCGAACGAGCGTGGGGATGTTGTGGTGATTCTTATGTATTCACGGGTTTTTTTATTCACGGATTCCGCCACTTGTCTTAGAGTGCCAGGCACCCTAAACCCTAAGCCGGGTTTCCCTTAAAAATTTGGGGACTTCGAACGAAACCCTAGGCCGGGTTGCCCTCTCCGTAGGCAGGTATGTCCTAAACACTTCCTAAACCCTACACCGATCACCAAACCCTGAAACGAAACCACCCCCACACGCAAACCGTATCCTTAGAAACCGGGGGGAGAGAGGGGAGGGGTGGAAGGGAGGTGTAATAGTGAACGCTCGATGTCGCAAGCACTCGCTCGAGAACAAAATCACGGCTTGAACCCTAAATGCCGCGTGCCCGGCATTGTCCGGTGGGTTGAGAAGCCTCCGTAGGGCTACATCACACGCGCGAAAACTCTAGTGTGGCTGTTATCAATGTTGGCCCTCGGATGGATGATCTTGTCTTGGACCGGTGTAGACCATGGACGTCATCATGCGTGGGACATCGTGGGACTGGGAAGCCTCATTAGTCGCTTTCATACATATGTTCATGCGAGCATGTAGATGCCATCAAGGTTGGGCCATGGACGTCATATGCCTGGAGGTGGGCGGGTGGAAACAGTCCAGCTGCTACAACTCGCCCTTCGCTAGGGTGATTCTTGCTTGGCTTAGTCTCAACCCAAAAACGTGAAAACTTAAAATATCGATTTTTTGAATTTTTGTGTGTTCGAGTTTTCGAACAAATATTCTGACTTTTAATTTTCGAATTGGAATAATTGAATTTTCAATCGTTTCGTGTGTTTGAATCAACCAAAACTCCAAAAAAATTGTAAATTCTTGTATTTTGGCATGAAGAAAATTATCGAAAAGTCGAATTTTCGAATTCGAATTTCAGAAACGTCTTCGAATCTTCGGAAACGCGTCAGTTACGTCGCGTGGCGTGAGAAACTGCATCTTGGCAGGCGAAACCCCCCTCATTTGGCGATTCCGGTTCAGCAGATATCTCAAACATGCCCCGTCATCTCGTGATACCGGTTCATCATATCGGGACCCGGTTTCCTAAACACAACCCCTCATTTGGCGATTCCGGTTCATCATAATATCGGATTCACCATTTTTTCGCGGACTTCTATGCCTGCACGACTGAGTCGACTCTACAACCAACTCAGCAGTGGTACTGCGGCCACGCAACACGGTCCCGGCGTAGGGCCGGCGGCAGGCGACTGGGCCCTTGGTTTGCTGCAAGGTCAAGGACACGGTCCAAGGAAGGGCCGTCGTTCGGCGCCTGCTGTGGAGCAGCGGCCGGGGGGAGCCAAGCGCTGTACTGGCTACGCAGCTGGAGATCGCGACGGAAAGAGCGCCACACCAGCCCTGTGGACCCCGCAAGCTCGGGATACGTGGACTTTTTGCGGCGCTCGGAACCTCGACGGTGCAGGGCTGCGGGTGACCCGTCCATGCAAGGCGTGACGGGTGGCACCAGGGTTGCATCGCAGCAAAGCCGCCTCCGTGGGCAGTGGCGCCATAGACCACGATGTCGATGTCGAGGCGCCTGCCGTCGTCCCAGGAGACGTCTGCAAGCGAGCCAGTGTCGCTGCACGACTTGACCTTTGGCCCACACGGCCTGGCGGGCGACGCATACCCAGGCCCGCTCGACAATCTTGGCAGGTCTAGCAAGCAAACCTGTCCTGGGGCATGCTTAGGCATTGTCGCCCAGGGCGTCGACCATTTCGCGACACCCCATGGGTTGGGGCCACAGAGCGACTCGCACAGAGCGGCAGTGCCAAGCGCAAGCGTCGCCTCAAAGTGACTTGCATCGCTTGCGGTGAGCCATGCTCCGGCATGCGGCCCNNACTGGGCGGCAAGGACGGCATGACCACAGTTCGGAGAGTTCGGTGAGGGTCCGCGAAGCATGGTATTGCCAACCATGCGGCCAGTCTCCGGCGCCGGGGTTCGCTGGGAGGACGGGGCGGGCGCTTTCCGAACCTTCGAGGATCGCACGCCACGTGGGGCAATTGCTCCACCCCTGATCTAGCAGGAGACGACGAGCGTTCGCCGCTTCCGCGAGGCAGTGCGTGGCTTCCCCAGGCTCGGCTTCGAGAAGCTGGACGTAACTGGCTGCGCTCCGCGTGTATGGCGGGCAATGCACGCACCGTCTCGTCAAGGGCGCCTCTCGCGCGGGACGGCGTCGTGATCACGTAGAAGTCGTCCAAGAAGTCAACAAGTATGTCGTCAGGATGAAGCCTGTGTTGACCACCCCAACAAAGAGGGAGGCCGCCGGACGGGCAACTGCTGGTGGTAGGGTTCGCGCTTGGACCAAGGCCTGTACCTCGTGCAAAGCTGAGCAAACAATGCAGAAGCCGTCCGCCTCTGCGTTAGCGTGGGAAGGGCAAAGGAAAAGGGTTGCAGAACCTTGCAAAAATGGCTGCGGCGAGCAAAGGTGTTGCAAGTTGTCAGCTCCTGCAATCGGGGCTTGATTGCACGACACAGTCAGCACATGAAAACTTGCTGCGCCCATGACGCGCCCCTCCGATAAAATCCATCTGTAGGGTCATCGCCGGTGTTTTGGGGGTCCCTGCGTGGAGGGGCCCGGGTCGCGTGGCCTTGAGGTCAGGGTTTTGCCCGTGGGCGACGCGGGCGTCCCACGAGGCGCGGATTTCGGCGGGAGCGTCGGCAAGTGCGAAGCGTGGGGCACAGTCGCTTCGTGCAGCACGCGACACAATAGCTCCGACGGGGTATGCCCGGCAGCTGCCGCCAACTCTGCAAGCTCCGTCTCACCACCCTTTGCCACGCAAGTCAAAAGTTCCAGGGCCGCTGCGGTCCAAGCAGGGGCCGATGAGGAGCGTGTCGGGGCGCGCATCCACACCGCAGCCACCGCGAGTGCGCGCAGAACAAAGCCACCCCCAGCAGTGGGCACACGGCCCCCAACCATGCGGAAAGTAGCGCGGCACGGCACCAGCTGCGCACGTGACGAATGCATGAGTCAGCGCTTCCCTGCAAGTAAAGGGGAGCTGCGCCGCCGTCGGCACCGCGTGCCAGGCCTCGCGCGCCAGGAACTTCGCCAGCAAGGGCATGGCGCTCCATGTCCAGACCATGGCCGGCAGCGATCACGGCCTGGGTCGCAGGCTGGTCCGGGCTCCTCGCCGTCGCTGCCCAGTGCGCCTATGCCGCTTTTTTGCTGGAGCTGCCGCCCGCAGAAGCCCTCTGCGACGGACCCGTGCCGGAGCTGCACGAGGTCCTCGCCGACGCGCGCCGGGACTAGTCCCGGCAGCGGCCTCCCGCCCGGTCGCGCCCGCTCCTGCTGCCGTAGGCCGTGTAGCTGCCGACGAAGACCCTTCTTTGCATTCGTAAAAAAGCGCGTGGAGAAAAGAAAGCCGGACGAGCTTTACAGAGTTTGCGCTTGCTTACTTTTTGAGGCAGAAAGTTATTGAGCCAAAATGGCTGTGAGTTACCTCGCGGGAAGCTGAGCAAACAATGCAGAAGCCGTCAACCTCTGCGTCGCGATGGCGGCAGACCCGGCAAACTTCAGCCATGTTAGCGCGGGAAAGGCAAGGGAATCAGGTTGCAGAAAGCCTTGCGAAAATGGCTGCGGCGAGCAAGGGTGTTGCAAGTTGTCAGCTCTCCTTTACGGCAACATCCCTTCGAGAGACTCCTGTCGGTTTGCACTTGTGTTGTGCAGGCCGAAAGGTGCACGAAACTGTGGAGTCAGCCAAATATTTACTTCAGGAATGCGTTAAAAGGAAAAGCGCGATCTTCGAGAGGTGTCAATTGGAATATGGCATGTATGCATTCAACAGTGGTTTGTAGGACGTTATGCAGCAAGCGCTTAAGGAAAACTTTGTGTGGATGACGATTTCACGCGTACTAGCTTGGACAGGCAGTGGGGTATTGCAGAAACTTCTCAAAGAACAATTCATCGGCATTCGTATTGTGCAATGAAGCCCTTTTCCGGAAGATATCCCTGTATGGTATGTGCTCGACGGCATGATTTCAACACCAAATACCTGGAAGCACTAGGATCAACAGCCCTATACTCGAAAATGAAAGCAATTCTCATAAGCATACGTATTGCCCAAAGAGGCCCCTCACACCTATGAGAGACCTGCACATACGCGCGGTAAAGAGTTTCGTCGCATCCGCTACAGACACGAAACGGGGTACCGGGAGTACAGGTAGTGGGGACCAGCCCGGCTAGCGGCGGAATGAAAATAT